ATAATAATAATAATAATAATAATAATAATAATAATAAAAAATAATAATAATAATGGCCTCATTTGAGCAGATTTGCTATCAAATAATCAGTTCATAATTAACCCAATTCATTGTTTCCTCTTAAAATGATACGTTCAAATTTGCTTAGAATCGTTTATCATTAAGCCAAGCAAAATTAATTATCAATAACTGATTAGCATCTATACTTAATTCATATTAACCGTGTGTGCATAAATTTGTTTGTTAAAAATTATTTTAAAGCAAATTTTCTATTTTAATATTACATTCAAAGTAGAAAGAAAGAAAATTAATATTTTTATATTTTACAAACAACAAACTTGATCAGTTTGCGAATCCATAATTTCAACTCTTCTCTTCAATTCATCGTTTGCTATAATATTATTCATTTGTAAATTTAATAAATCAGATTGTTTTATTTCACAATCATAATCCATTCCATTAATTATACGTGGACGAAATATCATTAAATTTTCTGCAAATAATGAAATTTAAAAATGGATTAATTCTAGTGAAATGTAATTTTGTAAATAATAAATTAAACGAAATTTTACCAGTAAGTGTTCCAGTCTTATCAGGCATTATATATTGTATACGACCTAACTCTTCTGGGATATTTGATGAATGACATTTCAGAATGACATTCGACTGCACAATCTCGACATTCATCATACATGCTGCTATCTTGTAAGATGATCCACTGATAAATATGATGATAGCGGTATTAATATCTGAAATTTGTAATTTAAATTCAACATGTTTATTTAAATCATTCATTCGCGAGGCTTTCGCAGTGTTATAGAATTCCAATGAAATTGTTACGAATTTATTGATATGAATTCTCATTTATTTGATATTAATTATGTCACTATAGAATTTTACATGTCACATCAAAAATACGAGTTATTTTTTGAAATTTGAAAATTTCAAACGGTTTCTAATCAATTTTAAATACTGATAGTTCCAGTTTTTGTTTGAGAATATTTCAAGTACCTGATAAACTAGAATAGATGAGACAAAATTAATTATACCATCGACAATAATCGAATTTGTTATCATAATCACAAATATTATTTCTTTGATATGTGGTAAATAAAATGAAAGCCATAGCACTGAAGCAATTCCGGTAAATAAACAAATTCCGATTAAAATTACAATACAGCATAAAATGAATTAATTGGTTGTGATTTCCAGTGAACTGCGCTTATGTAATGGATCCGAATTGATCATCACTATTTTACTTTCATTACCTCAAATGAAAATTTCAATTTTCATAATTAATTAATTAGACAATAGTTTATTTTTTCAATTTCAATCATTTTAGAATTTTTAAAAACTTCAATTTAAGCATTAGGAACAAAATTTTCATATTTATCAATTGAATCAGATTCAAATTTCAAAATTCGAAATACATTTGAAAATATGCAATTTATAAATTTTCAATTTCTAAACTGACCAGCATAAAGTACAATTCCTTCAACAAATGTTGTATTTTGAAGTTGGCATCCACGAAATATCATATTTTCATTTCTTATAACTTCTGTCACATCATTCTCATAAATTATCTGACCTCTTATTTGATTAATTTGATTATTCGGTTTTTCAAATAAAACTTTTGAACGCAACTGAGTTAGTCGATATAAGCTTTCTTCCTTTAAAAAAAAAAAGTGTAAAAATGAAATGTTAAACCAGCATTTCATTTAAAAAAAAAACACTCATTTTAATCTGAAAAAAATTAAAAATAACCCTTAAATTTAAATTATTCCAAATGATAACACTCATTAAGCTCATACTTTTTATCAGATATTTTGAATTTAATTGATGAATTTACTTTCCTAAGTAATATATCTTTACGAGTAACAGAAATACTGAACCCCTGAATGTGGCAGTAATGATGCTGGCACGTATCTTTGCTTCAAATTCGTCACAAAGCAAACACGATCAGATGACCGGATCAACAGGATATCAGCCGGAATAATCTCATCCAAACATACGTGCAGAAAATCACCAACAATCACCTGCTCCCAGTGCATTTTACGAAAGCAACCTTTACCAAAGTTAAAATGTTTTCAATTATTGATGATATTGAAATTTCAAGGAGAGTGAGAGAGGGAGAGAGAAAAATTATGATAATATATTGATTATGGTAACTAATATTTTCATTAAAAAATAATTTAATTCTATCAAAAAATTTGTCACTTATTTCAAAAATATCAACAAGAAATGATAATGATGACAATTTAATATTTATACTTACCCATCCCAGAAATAACAAATTTTACGATTCATTTGCTCATCTAATTTTCTAAGACGAAAATCTTTATAAACATTCTGAAAATAATTTTTAAATTAACCTAAATTTAAAAAATTTAAATTGAATTTAAATTTAAATTAAAAATAATTCACTTTAAGTGCAGCAAAGCCCAATATCACAGCAATAGGTAGGTATCATACCCACGTAACTGTTTAATGCTCCCAATATTGAAATCCAATTCAATTCAGCTATCATCATGAAATATGAACTCGCTATCCGATGGAATTGCAATACGAATACCTGCGACTCTATCTAAGATAAATAATGATAAAATAATGATAATAATGATAAAATGACGGAAAGATAAACGTTTCCGTTGCCATAAAAAATTTGAAATTCAATTTTTACTCCATAGAAATGCTAGAATGGATTATCAATTCTTCATTTCCCGAATAAATTTTATGCAAAATTTCATTTTATATTTGCAATAATTTTGAGAACTGCAAAGTTCATATCGATGAATGGAACGATCAATTTGATAATTTGGTGCCAACATTTGTTCGTTATAAGAAATAAGAAATTAATAATATTAAAGGGAAGAGAGTGGTAAGGTTATAATGACAAGATAAGGTAAGTAAGAAAATAACTATTTATTAATTTAATGATAATTATTTGTTACTTGCATAATTAACTGGATTA